TCACGATGACGCCTGCGCTGTTGGCATTAAGAACTGTGATCCTTCAGTAAGTAATAATACTTTACATGTGCATGTGTACATGTACTACATGTACATGTATTATTACATGTACATGTGTAGATCATGCTACTAATACTAGTAGCAAGATGTTTTTTATGTGCATGTACATGTACATAGTTATTATTTCATTTTATATCAATTAAAAATATAGTACTACCACCTTTAAATTTAGTATTAAAGTGAGCTTTTTATACCTTTTTATATGTACTATACATTCATTTATTTTACAATTAGATTGTTAATGCCCAATCATGTACATGTATATGCACCCTGTTGGAAGAATTCATGCAAAGACACTACTTTCTTAATATTTCCTGCATCATTTATGACCAATTTTCTCATAGTGTAGTACATGTACATATGTACATGTATTAGTAGCCACTATTATTCTGCCTTAATTTATGCCTTTACTCTTTTAGGCTCCACTGATGATGTACATTAGTAAGATGGTCCCCACCACAGACAAGGGTCGGTTCTATGCTTTTGGTCGTGTGTTCAGTGGTACAGTGGCTACTGGTCTTAAGGCTCGTATCATGGGACCTAACTTTGTCCCTGGGAAGAAGGAGGATCTCTACGTTAAGCCAATCCAGAGGTACAGTAACAGTATACCATACAAGTACATACTTGTATATATCTTCTGGTGTGTGATATTTTAAAGTTGTTTTAATGTGATTGAGTGAATGATAATGCATGTACTTGTATGGATGCTGTTGATTGACATTTCAAATAGAAAGTATAGTGTTTTTGGCCAAAATTTGTCAAAAATGACTAGGAGAGAATTTTCCAATTTTATAATTTTTTCCTGATACATATACATGTTGTTATGTTGTATTGAAAGTTTGAGCTGATTTCGATCAAATTTAGATTTTTTACGAATTTTTTAAAGTTGCTCCAAAATTAGGCCAACGCCCTTGTACTATAGTACAGGGATTTTGGCCAAAATTTGGCAAAAATGACAAGGAGAGAATTTTCTAATTTTATAATTTATTCTAATACATATACATGTTTTATGTTGTGTAGAAAGTTTTAGCTGATTCTGATTAAATTTGGATTTTTTACGAATTTTTAAAGTTGCTCCAAAATTAGGCTAAAGTTGTACAATTGTACACATGATTGAGTAATGAATTACATATATAAAAGTACTTCTACAGTGCATGTGTTTTATTATCCCTTTTATTTCTCCTCTCCCTCCAGGACTATCCTGATGATGGGTCGTTACATTGAACCCATTGAGGATGTTCCTTGTGGTAATGTTGTTGGGTTGGTTGGAGTTGATCAGTTCCTGGTCAAGACTGGGACCATCACTACCTTTGAACACGCTCACAACATGAAGGTAGAGTAACTGTACAATAAATGTAATAACATCATTTATAGTACATGAAGCTTCCTATACATGTACATGTATGTTAGTTAATAGCTTTTCATTTTCAAGCAGTATTAAATATTAATGTGTATTGTTAAAAAGCTATTGTTAATGATGACTGAATTATTATCATATTGTGTTCATTAGTATATGTTAGCACTAATTATTGTCACCTGATTGTGTTTTTAATAAACAGTTTTTAAAATTATTTAGATATTATTATTATTATTATTATTATTATTATTATTATTATTATTATTATTATTTATTATTATTATTATTATTATTAGGTGATGAAGTTCAGTGTTAGTCCTGTGGTACGTGTTGCTGTTGAGGCCAAGAACCCATCGGATCTTCCCAAACTTGTTGAAGGACTCAAACGTCTAGCAAAGTCTGACCCTATGGTCCAAGTAAGAACCAATAATAATAATAATACTATTTTGAAATATTTTTATTTTCTAATTAATGCCCATTTTCTAATTAATGCCCGTGTAGTGTATGATTGAGGAGAGTGGTGAGCACATCATTGCTGGAGCTGGTGAGCTTCATTTAGAAATATGTCTAAAAGATTTGGAAGAGGATCACGCTTGCATACCACTGAAGGTGCAATAATAATTATTTATTAATTGAACAATTTTACAATTTTAATGAGATCATTATAATATAATGTATTGTATTTTCATTCATAAAATGATTATTTTAATTAAATTTTTTTGTAGAAATCTGATCCTGTTGTGTCGTATCGTGAGACGGTTTCAGCCGAGAGTTCAATAATGTGTCTATCAAAATCGCCAAACAAGCACAACCGGTTGTTCATGAAGTGCTGTCCATTCCCTGATGGACTGGCTGAAGATATTGACAAGGTACAGTAATACTTTATTATTGGTATTATTATAATTATTATTATTATTAACATAAGCTTAACAGAAATGATTGCTATTATTATTATTAAAACAAGTGAAAAATTGCTTAGAAAGAGGTGATCCAACAATGAAAAGCAAAAAAAGACTAAGGATTATTATTATTATTATTATTATTATTATTATTATTAGTTACTGTATTAATTAGCAGAAAATTTGCTTCATTGCATTAATTGACCTGTTAGCTCACATTAATTCAAATGCAAACTGCTTCTTTCTTTTCAAAAATGTGTCTTTATTTTTTGTAATCATTTTACTTGTATGTTTCTTCTTTTCTTATCCTAGGGTGATGTTAATAATAAACAGGATCCCAAAGCTCGGGCTCGGTACTTGTGTGAGAAGTATGAGTGGGACGCGACTGAGTCCAGGAAGGTTTGGTGCTTTGGACCGGAGACCACTGGCCCTAACATGCTCATTGATGTTACTAAAGGAGTCCAGTACTTGAATGAGATTAAGGACAGTGTTGTAGCTGGATTCCAATGGGCTACTAAAGAGGTATAGTAATTGGAAAACCATGGGCTATAGTACAGGGATTTTTTCAGTTTTTTTGCTTATTTTAAATGGCCACAACTTCAAAAATTGAAGTCAGAATCAGCTCAAACTTTCTACACAGCTTAAGGACATCAATATGTATCAGAAAATGTAATAAAAAATTTGGGGTTATTTTGGAGCCGTTTTTTGAAAAAAACCATGGGCTATATAGCCTTGGGTATTTTTCAGATTTTGGCTCAATTTTTAAAATGGCCGTAACTCAAAAAATTGAAGTCGGATTTAGCTCAAACTTGCTACACAGCATAAAGACATCAATATAAATCAAAAAATGTAATAAAAATTTGGAGTGATTTCGGAGCTGTTTTTTTGAAAAAACCATGGGCTATATATAATCGTACAGGGATTTTTATCAGATTTTTGCTTATTTTTTAAAATGGCCATAACTCGATAATTTGCAGTTGGAATTGGCTCAAACTTTCTACACAGCATAAGGACATCAGTATGTATTAGAAACTGTAATAAAAATTTGAGGAGATTTTTGGGGCCATTTTTTAGAAAACCATGGGCTATATACAATGTATAGTGTATTTTCATTTTAACTTTTCCCTTCTTCCCTCCTCCTCAGGGTGTACTGTGTGAAGAGAATATGAGAGGTGTTAGGTTCAACATTCACGACGTGACCCTCCACACTGATGCCATCCATCGTGGAGGTGGTCAGATCATTCCCACGGCTCGTCGTGTGCTCTATGCCTGTGTACTGACTGCTGAGCCACGCCTACTGGAACCAGTCTATCTAGTTGAAATACAGGTATGACCAGTTTTGAATTACTAATAAAATTTCTTATATGTTGAGTACAACAGTAACATGTTTTAATTTATTATTATTTTGTACAAATTTCTCAATATTTTTTAATTTTAAAATTGTTGTTTTTTCTAGTGTCCTGAAGTTGCTGTTGGTGGTATTTATGGTGTGTTGAACAGGAGGCGTGGTCACGTGTTTGAAGAGTCCCAGGTTGTTGGTACTCCAATGTTCATGGTCCGTGCATACCTACCAGTTAATGAATCATTTGGTAAGTACATGTACACTTCTACATGCATGTACATTTATATGTGTATTTACTGTTTCAGTTTAATAATCATCATGATAGTTGGGTGTACCTTAAGGCCACTATTATTTGCGAGTACTAATTTTTGCGATTTGTTAATGGTACTGATTTAGCGAGTACTAATTTTTTGCGATTTTGCTCTTTTTTCGCAATTAATAACTGTTAATAAACCTAAATTATTAATAAATGCGAGTACTAATTTTTGTGATTTTAAAGCTACTCGCAAAAAAACGCAAAAATTAGTACTCGCAAATAATAGTGGCCTTAAGGTATGTTGTACATGCAAGTTTAGAATAGTAATTATTTTTGAGAGAGGAGTTAAGCATTGTATTATAATGACACATGTCTTTAATGTAAAGTGCTTTGTTCTCTTGTTTGACATGTACCTGTAACATGTATTCAAGCACACAAACTCCCAAAGCCTTTATTGTTATATTTTATTTTACTTTTCTCTCTTTGACATTAACTCTACAGTACTTGCACAGAATTTACTTATCTCTCTTCCCCCCCTCTCTCTCTCTCTCCCTCTTCCCCCCTCTCTCTCTCTCCAGGATTCACAGCTGACCTAAGGTCCAACACTGGAGGCCAGGCCTTCCCTCAGTGTGTGTTTGATCATTGGCAGATCCTCCCTGGTGACCCTCATGATCCCACCACTAAACCTGGTATTGTTGTGACCGAGACAAGGAAGAGAAAGGCTCTCTCTGAGGGCATCCCTGGCCTTGATAAATATTTTGACAAATTGTAAAGCGAATGACGGAAATAAATTTTGACTGAAGGGTTTAAAGAACAATGATATTGATGTGCTTTTATTGCATTAATGATAAGTATTATTATTATTATTATTGTGTACATACAAATAAATTAGGAAAAGTTTGCTATTATTATTAATATTCTTCCTTGTTTTTGCTATTGTACCTTTAATTTATTATCATTATTTATTACCAATTACCTTTTAAAATAATTATTGTCAAGACTACATTATTGGTTTTATTGGTGGGTGGGTCATTGGGCGTGGTCTTATGGTTTCTAATCTAATTTCCCAATGAGTGTTCCAGAGGCGAGAAGAGTTTTAAGAAGAATAGGTAACTTTTATTTATCATTCCATTTACTTTATTGATATTTCAGAGCTCGAGGCATACGCTTCAATAGTGAGCGCCTTTAGAGCGGAAGGTCCATTGACGCAGTTAGTCCGCCATATTTCGTCTTGTTTATTTTTATAATTATCTCTTTATAGCGAGAAGAAAGCTGCTCTTACTAAGCTCTGTCAGTTACTGAGGTAAGTACTACACCAAAAATTGTTTTATATACATGTATATGTACTTGGCAGTATACAATTGTATTGGTTTTTATCAAACCACAACTTAATAATAATATAATAGCTAGCCCCTCCCTTTCTCCACCCACAGTATATCTTCTGATCGTCATCATGCTGAAGTTAGAAGAGCAATCTGTGACGATCAGCTCTGCTACATTGCCGATTGGTGAGTTAAAACTCTTTTGATGATTTTTTAAAAAATTTATTGGGTTGCCCATAAATTTTTTAGTGTTACTGGAAATGAGAGTAAACGGTCGTGGCTGCCGGAAGGAAGGAGGACTGGAGGGAGGGGGAACCCACGTCTTGTTGCAAGGCACGTCCTTTCTTCGTCTCTTCAAGGTCAGGCACTGGCAGCTGTTACTGCTTCGACTGTGAAGTCAAGTTTGAAAACTGAAGGAGGAGGAGTAGATGAATCAGAGAAGAAACTACCTCCACAGGTTAGAGACACTCAAGCTTTCTACATGTACATGTACACTATGCATGTAACTACAAGTATGTGCATCAGAAAATGTTGTTAAAAACTAAGAATTCTTTCCTTTTCATTTTTGATGAAATTTGGCCAAAATTCCTGTATTGTTTTGTCCGATTTTGGAGTAACTTTAAAATTTCGTTAAAAAATTCAATTTTGATTGGAATCAGCTCAAACTTTTTACATGACATAAGAACATTTATATGCATGAGGAAAAATTATAAAAATGGAGAATTCTCTCCTTTTCATTTTTGACGAAGTTTGGCCAAAATCCCTGTACTATAGTACAGGGACTTTTGTCCAATTTTTAAGTAACTTTAAAATTCTGTAAAAAATTCAATTTTGATTAGAATCAGCTCAAACTTTCTACACAACATAAGAACATTTATATGCATCAGGAAAAATTATAAAAATGGAGAATTCTCTCCTTTTCATTTTTGGCGAAATTTGGCCATAAACATACAACAATAATTATTATTATTATTATAATAATTATTATTATTATTATTTTCTAGGTTCAGTCAGCTATAAGAATGATTACAAGTCAGCACCAATCATCAGCATCTAATACCCGCACTCAAAAACCTTCTCCTCTTCCTCCTCCTCCCCCTCCTCCTCCTGTCTCTTTAAAATCAACTGGTTCCCAAACAGACGCTCTACCATCAATAAAACCGGACACTACCACTCCTCACACTACACCAGTACAGAGTGTCTCTATTGGTATACAGGTTGACCTCATTTCAGTTGATAAAGTTGATGTGGGGACTCAGTATGAACCAATGGAAGATGTAATGGAGATTAAAGAAGAAGAGGATAAACAGCAACCAGACATCAATGAAGCTAACGAGCCTTCCTCTCAATTGATCTTGGAACAAACTAACAAGGCACTAGCTGGTAATGATGTTAGTGATCATACTGATAAACCGGTTGATTCTGAGATGATTGAATCAGTTCAGAAATCATTAGTTGAGATAAGTGAACCAGAATCAATGCAAGATGAGTCTTTGTTGGTAGTCGATTCCGAAATCAAGGAAATCAAAGTTGAACAAGCTCCCGTATCAAGTATCAAAGTGAACGAATCAAAATCATCTTCTGTGCAGAGTCAAGAATCAGATATCAATGACACAGTGTCAGTGGTTGAATCTGATATCATTGTTAAACCAGATTTGCTCGTCAAGAATGAATCAGATACATCTAATGTACAATCTGCTCCTGATCATTCGTTAAAAGAAGCTCCTCCTGTTACTAGAGAGGAAGAGAAGAGTGCATCAATAGAAGCTACTATTACACCCATCACTAGCAGTCTATCCATAAATACTACAGCCTCCAAAATCAGTTCATCAATATCCACCTCATCCACAGCCACCGTCATTCCTTCCCCTTCAATTAAAAGACGTCCATTGAAGCGTCCAATAAGCTCATTAGGTCATTCATCACCTGATGATATTCATCCTCCATCAGCTAAAGCACTTCATATAGACACCACCTTAACAACTAGCAGTACTCCACCATCCATCACTGCTCCTCCTACTACATTATCCACTAGTAGTACAGTATCTATCAGTGCTGTATCTAATACAATAGCACCTACTACTACTCCACCTACTACTGCTATAACTGCCAGCAGTATTTCTACAACTTCTAGTACTACAAGTACTCAAGCTCCTGTAGTACCAACCAGTTCTTCTACTGTACCTGCCAGTACTAGTGAGGCTGTAGTCCATAGTCCATTATCAGATACTGATGATACCTTTTCAATTGTTAGTATTCCAGTATCCAGTATTACCAAGTTACCCACTCCTAAGAAGAATCCTACAGTTGTCATACATTCTGTTGCCCCTACAATCAGTGATAGCACTAATGTCAATACTACTGCTACTACTGTTGGTAGCATGTTGTATTCTACTGCTGTAGCTGCTCTAATTTCCCCTTCTCCTCTCTCTCCCATCTCTCCATCTCCTTTCTCTCCCTCGCCTATCTCATCATGCCCTCTCTCTCCTTCTCCTGTTCCAGAATCACCTCCAAAAACATTTTCAAAATCCAACCCACCCTCTCCAAGTAAAAGCAGCAGCTCCCAGCAAACAAACCCCATCATTCCTCCAGTTACTAGTCAAGATACCACTACAGTCAATACAGAGAGTACCACTCACTCATTTACTGCTACTACTAGTACAGCTACTAATATTACATGTACTGGTGATATAGATATTGTTGCTGCTCCATCAGTGAGCATAGAAACTACATGTAAGTCATTAGAGCCAGCTCCATCTTCAATAGAAACAGTACAGGGACTGCAGTCAGAATCATTAGAGACAGCAGTGAGCATCCTTAACAAAGAAGGGAATGAAGAAATAAAAGAAGAGATTGAGAGTGTACATGTAAAAGAAGAAGAAGTGTTTGAGAGCATAGAAGAAGAAGAGGATGAGAAAATGGAGACAGAGGATGGTACTACAGGCAATATATTTGACTTTACTAGTATTCCTAACTCTAAGGGAATCCTCCCATTAAAGCCAGAGCTGTTTCAAACTGTCTCTTCTCTTTCCTCTCCTCATAGAGAGAGCAGTGCTCTTATCCTCTCCTCTGCTAATCCAAACACCATCACATCAGTTCCTTCAATAGAGGAGCTCTCATCAAGCATATCATCACCAGGTGGTGATAATCTCTTCTTTCCTGATAGTGCTGGTCCTCACTTCCCTCCCTCTCACTCTTCCACTCCCACCTCTCCATTCCCATCCACAGTCATACCAGATGAGAATGTCCTCTTGGAAGCTGTTACTAATGAACTAGGAGTGGACTCCATTGATCCTTCCCTTCTTAATATGTCTGATCTACTCTCTCTCCTTCAACCTGATTCTGATCCTCTTGATCAGTTGGCTCTCACAACTGAAGAGGCTTCATCTGATATGATTGTACTCCAACAAAGTGATGGAATGAATGTTGTTCAGAACTTGGACCTCAATATAAATGAAGAGGAACTGCTGGAGGGACTCCCTCAGGAACTGAGGGACAGTGTACAGGCTATGCTAGAAGATCAATAGAACCTTCCATGTACTGTACATTCTATACTTACATATTCCATAATTCTATGAATTAAATTTTGTATTTCATTATTCATTTTGTGTGATTTGTGAGCCAACGCCCATTCAACAGCCAACGCCCTTTTAGGTGGGGCTGACTCCTCTGACCTCTGTTTTGCTGGAAAATGTCAAGTTAGTTTCTCTTGTGTTCTTTTCCTAATTTTGTTTTCTTTCCTTTACAGGTACTTATAAATTCAAAGGGAGAATTGAGCACTCAGCTCCAGTAATAGGAGACTCACTCTACCTGTGGGGAGGGGGTCAGCTTAATTTACCTCTAGTACACGATTCACCTCAAAAGAGGAAACTGACCTCAACAGTTGAGACATTTTCCTTTTCATCAGCTCGCTGGTCCTCTCACCTAACAAGAGGTACTCCTCCATTAGGAGTCATTGGCTACTACTGTACCACCTTTCGTTCTAATATTTATTATTATGCTGGCTATTGTGGTCATGATCTTTGTTGCTACAACAGTTTAAATGTACTAAATACACTGACCATGAGCTGGACTCAATTGCATCCTAATGATGAGTCCATGATGAAGAAAGCCAATGGTGGAATGGTATCACTGGAATTTGATGGAACTGACTATCTTTTTATGGTCGGTGGTATGGGTCCTACACCAGCTGTCAAACACCCTCAGTTTCAATATGTATATGATCAGATGGGACGTGTTATTACTAATGAACAGTTACTTTATAAACTATCTAATGGTGAGTTTCTGTTTTGTGTATTTTCTGTTGTATTGAATTGTGTTAAAAACATTACATTATTTCAATTTTTAGGACAATTCACTGTTCCATCTGTCAGTGGACATTGTTGTCCACCGAATGGTGCTTTTACAATCGACAAAATTAATCAAAATAAGGGAATAATGGTTGGAGGAGCATCAGCTAGTAATGTGTACATGTTTACTGTGACACGTAATACAATAGTAAGTTATTATGCACATGTACTGTATACGTGTGAATTATCTCTATCAGCTTTATTATTATTTTTGTCCTTATAATGAACAAAGCAATCATTATTCTGCTTGTAGCTGTATTGTAGCTGTATTGTATTGTAGCTGCTTGTAGCTGTACAATACACTACATGTACTGTTGTCGTTGCTTGTTACTAATTATAAAATCACTGATTTTGTAACGTATATAATTATATGGACCTAGTGTATTTATGTTAATGTTTTATTTAGCATTGGGAAAATGTTACAATATCTGGCGAGGGACTCTGGAATGAGAGGCTTTATCATGCTAGTGCTATTATCAATGTTGACTCTACCTCACCTGCACTAGTAGTGATTGGTGGAGCGAGTGGTATCATTGAACTAACGAAAGAATGTTTATTATTTGATAATATCACAACTGGTCAGTTCAGCTGTAAAAAGGTATGTGTATTGCATACATGTACTGTATGTACGGTATTTTAGTTTTAAATACTTGGAAAACAATTTTGAGAGAGCCTCATTACGTTTTTTTTTAATTAATGAAACTTATTGGTAATAATTATTTCATGTATGATGTATCTACATTTATAGATTCCTTTGCCTAATTCTGTTACTGACAGATATAATCATTCACTCACAGCAGTCGCAATGTCACCAAACTGTGTGTGGCTAGTAATTGTTGGAGGAACTGAAGGGTTTATGAATCATGCACCAATCACTGATACTAATAGACTAATAATGATAGCTGAATTAGGTAAGTTAATAATGAGGACTTTTTTCACATACTGATAATAATAATTTTTCTTATTTCAGTAAATATTGAAGCTGGTGAGTGGACAGTACAGTCAGTACTGGATGGTAATGATCTCACTAGTAAGAAATATCAAGAAAAGTATTTATCATATAGCAAGACCAGAACATGGTGGATGGATCAGCTAATAGAATATCCCACAGAGAAGGTAATGAAGCTTCAGAGATACATCCAGTCTTTACATCAAGAACTACAAGTGGCTCATGAGAACAAAGTATCACTACAGGAGGCACTGACTGAGGCCAATAAACAAGGTACATGTACATGTGTACTATGTTCTACTGGTATATGTTTACGTTATATGTTTATAATGGTATATTGTTGAAATAAGACATTAAGCTTACTACATTATGATTTTTCAGGCTCTAAAGTCGATGGCAGTCAACTAGTTATTATGAATGAGAAATTGGAACAGGTTTTAAAACAGAAACAGATTCTTACTGGTTAGTGTATCATCAGTACATAATATTAGATGAGTCTATTAATGTAGAAGATAACGAGAAACTTAGAGCTACAGTTGCTTATAATGAAGTATATATAACTGAAATAGAAGAAGAGAAGAAACAAGTAGAGGAAGAGAAGAGAAAAGTAGAAGATGAGAATAAACAAGCAAAGAAAGAGAAGAAGGAAGCAGAAGAAGAGAAGAGACAATTAGAGGAACAATACCTCATTGACAAACAGATCACTAAAAGTTAGAGTATTGTCATCAATATGTTTGTATTACGAAAGAATATTTTTAGAACTTAAAGCTAAAGTTGCTGTTAATGATGTATACATAACTGAATTAGAGGAAGAGAATGAAAAAGTAGAGAAAAAATATCACAAGGAGAAACAGATCACTAAAGGTTAGAGTATGTCATCAATGTGTAGCATACAAGTATTATATGAGAGAATATTTAGAACTGAAAGCTAAAGTTGCTGATAATGAATTGTGTACTGCCAAACTATTGAAAGAGAAGGAGGAATGGGATCTAACCAAAGTGACTAACACCAAAGAAGTGCAATTTGATTACATGATCCCTTCAATGGGTAAGAGTATTATACTGACTGAGTGTATATTGTATACAATTGATAGATAATTTGGAATGTCTGAGTGATGTCCAGGTAGCAGAGAAGAAGCTGTTCTTAATTCAAGGAGACAAACCTCAACTGATGAATTGGGAGAAATATGGTCTAAGGATTGGAGTACAAGAAGGAAGCCTATTGTCCTCTGAGACAGTAGAAGCAGCAGTGGTTGCTCTTGTAGGAGGACAGTTCGAGTTTCCTCCTAATACTGTCCTAGTGAGTGCTGTGTATGCAGTATCACTCTCAAAGCCTCTCCTCAAACGACTCAAGTTAGAGATACAGCACTGCATTGATTTAAGAGGACGACCAGATCTTGCACAATACTTAAAGTTTGCTATAGCTCCCGTGAGCACACCCAGTCTTCCTTACCAGTTCTCATTAATTGAGGGAGGAGAGTTTAGGTCTAATAGTGGGTATGGATCCATTCAACGTAAAAGGTTTTGTTTGGTTTGTATACTGGGAGAAGAATGGGCTAATGGAGGAAGTAATTGTGTCCCTATAGCATCAGTTAATGGAGACACAGAGGAAGGAGAGGAGGAAGAGGAGCAACCACAACAAGAAGAGAATGACCAGGAGGAGGAAAATTTGCAAGAAGCAATTGATCATTGGCAACAAGAGGAACTGGAGGATAATGAGCATCAGCAGGTAGAGATGGAAGAGGGAGATGAGTATAAAGGAGAAGATGATGGTTCTTCTAGTGATTCTTCTAGTGTATCTAAGGAGACTAACAGTACTATAGGAACTGGTGGAGCTGCTAAAGGTTAGTATATTACTTGGTACATGTTTATACATGATGTACAATTGTGATCTACATATATTATGTGTACATGGACATTTATAATAATATTTCACTAATAGAGTCTAATAACGAAAAGAATGGATCTAAAATAAATGAAGGTTTAGAGCCAATTGATGAGCATAGTAGCAGTACAAAACCAATCCCTAGTTCATCTATGACTGAGAGTAAGAATGAACTAAAAGTATTATATAGTATTTTGTATATGTTACTAGTACACTCCACTGGTGTAAAGGAGGCTACTAATTATGCTGGACTGGTATATTATGAGGAAGATGGTGTAGGAGATTTAGTAACATTCACTGCTGTTAAGAAATTAGATGCACTCCTTGAGGTGATTTAAAATATGATTCATCACTGGTTTATTGTTTATATAGTTTATTAAAAAAGAACATCCGAAAGCTAAACAAAGACCTCATTTTTACTTTTGTATTGCATCTCCTGATGGTTATATTGAATTGAATTTAAATGCTCAACAAGATGAACCATTTACTGGATGGAGCATTAAACCTCACATAAAATCCTGCAGGGTAAAAATATTTTAAATAATTATACAATGATTCAATGAATCATTCCATCAAATTATTTTATACTAGTTGCGTCAAAGGGATATTTACAATTTTGGTGACAAAGATTATCCCCTTCCTCCATCATGTCTCCTATCAGTCTATTCATCACCTAATGCTGTTCCTACATTACACTACTCTGTACCAGTAGAGGGTGTGGCTGATCCTGTTACACTATATATTCAGTTATCACGAAGAACTACTCTTTCTACTGCAGGTAATGTTCAATTTATTATTATTCTTTTAATACATGTTATATATTTATTAGTTGCTCCTAGCAGTAGTGGCAATGATGAAGATAAGCCAGTACCAACTAAAAGAAAAAGAGAAGGAGGTACATGAACACATGTTATTGTGACTAGCTACTGACTATTGTTATTTATAGGATTTGATATTAAAAATGCTAAGCAAAAGATAAAGAAAGTTATGATTGAGAATCACACAGATTTTGCTGGACTCCTCCAGTTTTCTCTGGTCCATGTTGCTAACAAACTGTTTGAGGTTCATATGATTCCTCCTGAGGTTCAACAGTCACCAACTTATGATGCCATATCCACCTGTTTTGTAAATATGATGAGTTTATTGGACTCTAAGTCTGATCTAGAGGATCATTGCATGATATTTCTAGAGGCTCTATCTAGTGTTGGGGGACCAATAGAACGTGTTGCTAAACGTTTGCGGGAAAAATGGACAGCAGCTCTGGAGGGTGCACTTCAGTTTAAACAGTCTGTGAAATGAGTTAGAACTGCTGTGAATGATGATTTTGCAATTAATGATTTTAATTTAGAGTTTTATCGGTATATAATTATTTTTTAGCAGATGTTATTTTTATACCAAATCTATTTATAGAATATTGTATAGTATTGTTTCCATGTCTCCAACTTTTAATGAATTGTTAAAACTTTTTCATCTGAAAAAGATTTACCACTACAGCTGCATGATGTTTCTGATTTTTATTATAATTAGATCTATATGCCTTCTGTGGCTGCATTCAGTATCTTAACTTGCTATATATCTTGTAAGGAAAAGAAGCTGACTTAGCTGAGGAGTTACAAAAAAGTTGCCCTTTGGCTTTAATACATGATACAAATGAAAATCTTAAGAAAAATAAGTTCTTAATGTATTCATTATGAATGCCTTATCATAACAATTAATGAGAGAGTGACATCAAATGATGTATCACTATAATCCATACCTGTTGTCTGTACTCTCCCAGTGACATCATCAATCATGCATTATTACAACTCATACTCTCTCAATAAACTCCTTACAATACTTATAAATACATTAGGTAAACTTATTCCACTCCACTTTGTCACTATTCTGTAGACCAATAGTCTGAGAGGTGACTGGCTAGCTATTTCTAACAGTTTTTATATGAACTACAGTCCAGCTAACACTACTCTCAATATAGTCTACCCTACATGTATGGGCATTCCATACTTATAAATGTCATGCATTTATGACATTTATAAGTATTTATAATCAGCT